AACAGATTTATAGTTACAGAGAACAGATTGATGGTTGCCAGAAGGGAGGGGGGTTTAGGGAACTGGGTGAAAAAGGTGAAGGAATTAGGTACAGATCGGTAGTTACAAAATAGTTATGGGAATGTAAGGTATGGCATAGGAAATATAGTCAATAATATTGTGATAATTATAAATGGTGCCAAGTAGGTACTGGAAATATCAGGGGACCACTTTTTAAAGCATATGATTGTCTAACCACTATGTATATACCTGAAATCAATACAAAATAATATTGAATGTAAACTGTAATTGAAAAAATGTTTACAAATATTTTTTAAACTTTGGATTATGAATTTTCAACACATACAAAAGTAAAAATAATAGTGTAATGAAACCCTTTACCAATCACCCAGCTTCAATAATTATATAGTTTCCCAGTTTGTTTCTTCTGTATCATGCAGGTCATTTGTTTTGTTTGGGGTTTAACCAGATTATTTTAAAGCAAATCCCAGGCATCATATTATTTCACGTTTAACTACTCCAGCATTTTAATCTCCTACTTAAGGACCCTACCTTTAGCAAAACCACAATACCTACCATTATCACCTTTAACAAAATTAATAATTCCTTAGTACCATCTCACACCAAGTTGTGCTCTTTTTAAATTTTTTTTTCCTCAAGTGTTTCATTTATTTTGCTTGAATGAGGATCCACAGGCTTTTGGTTGAAATGTCTCAATTCTTTTTAACTTGAGTGATCCTCCACTTTCCAATCCTGGCATTTTTTGGGTCCTTCTTTTGTGGAAGAAACCAGGTTATTTGTCTTGTGGAAATTGTGCACTTGGTTTATTGTGTTCTCCTTCTCCATGTCCCCGCATCTTCATTATTTCCTGTAAACTGGTGGGTAGGTCCAGGGCCTGGTCCAGACTTTGTTCGACTTTTTGGCAGGCAGATTTCATGGGTGTTGCGATGCAGGTCATATGCCGTTCAGGAAGAATGTAATGTCTGGCTGTCCTAACATAGTTTTAACTGCCATCATCCCCAATTTGAGAGAGGAAATTGAGGATCGGAGAGGTTAAAAAACTTGGCCAAGGTCACATGGTAAGTGGACTCAAACTCAAATCTGACTCCAAATTCTGTGCTTATAACCCCCGACTCTCCTCTGAGCCAGATGAAGCCTTGGGTGACAATGGGGAACCAGCTGCTTCTCTAGTCCCAAGTTCATTACTAGAGGTGGAGACCATCGCAGAAGCTGATGATAACGTGAGGTAGACTCTGATGAGGACTAGGGCCTGGGCCTGCTGGGAGCCCTGATGAGGAGCTTCCTGAGGAGGCAGTGCTGGGGCAGAATCCTCAAGGGTGAAGAGAGTTATGCGGGGTGGGGGGGTGGGGGAGGGGACAAGTGGGCCAGGAGAAGGCAGTGGGCAGGGCTAGCTATGTAGGACGACTGAGAATAAAATGCCCCAAATTCCATTCTAGAGTTTCTGGGCAACAAAAACCTAGCAAGTTGCACTGAGTTTGATGAATCATGGGGAGGGGGGGGGGGGGGGGGGGGGGGAGGGGACAAGTGGGCCAGGAGAAGGCAGTGGGCAGGGCTAGCTATGAAATAGGACTGAGAATAAAATGCCCCAAATTCCATTCTAGAGTTTCTGGGCAACAAAAACCTAGCAAGTTGCACTGAGTTTGATGAGGCATCATGGGGAGAGCATTTCTGGGCACGGAGGCAGTTGCTTTCCCTTGCCACAGCCCTCGTCCTGGTGCCCCTGGGGATACCAAGGCCAGTTCCTCCTCCTCTCCAGCCCGGCTTCCCTGCAAGTCCTCCATCAGCTGCCCTCCTCCCTCTCAGTCCCAGCTAGCCTGGATGCCAGGTGAAGGGCGGAGGAAGGACGGAGGGGCCAGGAATGCTGTGTCAACATCTGTTCACCTGGTCGGGATTTGCAGGCTGGATCCTGGGCTACTCGGCAGGGAACCTGGTTACTCAGCCGCTCCTGCCTTCTTCTGCAGTAACCTGAGCCCTGCTCCATAGGTTCTCCTAGGGAAAGCTGAGTGTCCCTTACTCCAGCATTATTCTACTGTAACTTGAGAACTCGATCTATAGATGCTCTGTAGGCAGCAGCCAGCGGGGAGAAAGGTGGAGGGGAGGGATCCAAGAATAGCTCCAGTTATCGAGCGCCTAGGATGTCCCAGGCGCAGCTCAAGGCACTTGATCTGGCAACAGGCCTTCTGGGCTGGGAAGAGCAGAGACTGCTGGCTGCCATTCACCCTGCTTATTCCTTCTTCTGCTTTCATTGAGGTCCTCTCTCCATGTGGGCAGGTGGGTCCCCAGCCTTAGCCCTGGAGGTGAATCAAGATGGAAATCTTGGCAGATTCAGGAGTCGGGAAGGTTAGCTGACCCAGCAGCCATTCTCCCCCTCCAGAGGCTGAAGATATTCTCCTGGCCTCCCTGGCAGCTGGTGGTGGTGGTGGGGTTACTCCTGGAAAAGCTTTTCCTTCTGATGAAAAGAGAGCCAGGAGAGGAGCATTTGCTGAGCCCCTTTGCCCCTCCTTGTCCTGCTTTGAATGAGAACATGAAGTTGGGAGCTGTTACAGCCCCCTGTGATCACAAGGCCACAGACAGAAAAACAAGCCAAAGAGCTGCCAAAGCAACCCAGACACCTTCCAAACCGCTTGTTAATCAGGATTCCCGACCCATCAGGGGCTGTGCTATACCAGGAGTGGCTTGGCTATTATCACTTGCCACTTTGCTCAAAGACGGAGGTTCTGCCAGAGGCTTTAGGAAAAGCCCCTGGTTCTTAAAAAGAGAATTTCTAGAAGAAACAGTTACATCCTCTCTGTATCCCATGCCTCACACTGTGGCAGCCGTTTTGCAGCGAGTTCCCATAGCCTCAAAGGAGGGAATTTTCATGGAAGAGCCAGAAAACCATAGTAGAAACATTTTTAGATTTAAATGTAACAGCCATATGTAGACATAGGACAAAGATTTGGGGGAAGGGGTCAGGAAGAGTAGGGCTGGGAGAGGGGCGCAGGAGAGTTGAAGAGAGCAACAGAGAGAAAGTAGGCCCTGAGACATCCCAAGTTCAGGGTTAGCTGCGAGGGGGGCAAGAATGGATGCACTTGCCCTACCCGGTTTGGCTCAGTGGGTAGAGCGCTGGCCTGCGAACTGAAGGGTCCCTGGTTGGATTCCAGTCAAGGGCACAAGCCCGGGTTGCGGGCTCCATCCCCAGTGTGGAGTGTGAGGAGGAAGCCAATTAATGATTCTCTCTTATCACTGATGCTTCTCTCTCTCTCTCCCTCTCCCTTTCTCTCTGAAATCAATAAAAATATACTAAAAAGAAAAGAGTGGAAGCACTTGAACCACAGAACCCCTGGGACATGTGGGAATCTGAGAGAGGGTTTCCCAGCTCAGTCGCAGAAGCAACAAGGCATGTGAATAATGGAATAGAAACAACTGTGCGAGTTGTTGAGGCAGAGAGGGACCAGGGAGGCCCCAATGGCCACAGAGTCACAGGAAAACAGCTACACCTTCGCTGTGCCCTAAATGGGTACAGAAGTGGCTGAGCGAGAGCCCCAGTGGCCTTTACGGGGCCACCACCAGCAGATGCAGCAAAGACTATATGTCCAGAGATGAGAAGGCAATGCCAGCCTCCCAGTGGATGCCAGCATGCCGTGGTGAGTAAGGCCAAGGACTAGATGGGACTACGAACATCAATCCTGCCCAGCAGAGAGAACAGATGTTGAGTGAGGACCGCCGCCTCCTGGAGCACAAAGGTTCTGCCTGAGTCTCCAGCAACTTAGATGCCACCTCGTGGGGGGACAGTGACGAGATTCATCATCAAGGGATGAGTTTCAGTTTCCACCTAAAAGGACTAGGTAGACTCAAAATGAACTCAGATGATGTTTTCTGTCTCAGATGGAATGTGGCTCGAACCAGATGTGAGGTTGAACTGGGACTGTTCATATTACATACTGGGCCTTGGGCTAAAAGCAGTCCTTTAATTCCCATAATAACCCTGTGGAACAGATGCCCTTCTCCTCCGTTCTTAGAAAATACTGCAAAACTAAGGACCTGGCTGAGTGGCTCAGTTGGTTGGAATGTTGTTCCATAGACCAAAAGGTTGCAGCTTTGATCCCCGGTTAGGTATGTGGGAGGCACAAAATGAACTCAGATGATGTTTTCTGTCTCAGATGGAATGTGGCTCGAACCAGATGTGAGGTTGAACTGGGACTGTTCATATTACATACTGGGCCCTGGGCTAAAAGCAGTCATTTAATTCCCATAATAACCCTATGGAACAGATGCCCTTCTCCTCTGTTCTTAGAAAATACTACAAAACTAAGGACCTGGCAGGGTGGCTCAGTTGGTTGGAATGTTGTCCCATAGACCAAAAGGTTGCAGCTTTGATCCTCGGTTAGGTGTGTGGGAGGCAACGGATTGATGTTTCTCTCTCCCTCTCTCCCCCCCATACCCTTCCTCTCGCTCACAAATCAATAAAAACATATCCTGAAGTGAGGATTAAAAAATATATAAGAAAGCTAAGCTTAGGAAGGGGTAGTCACATGCCTAAAGTTGCCTGTCATGTAAGTGGCAGAGATGTGATTTGAACTTGGCTGACTTCAAGGCCTGTGTTCTTTCCACCATAAAAAACAACAACTAATATATGAACAACACTAGCTAAACTTTTACTGAGCACTTTTCACGCTGTGTCCAAGGCTTTACAAGCACCCCTTGTTTAAATCTTACACAACTCCATGCGGGAGATTCTATTATTTTGCCCATTTTTACAGGTGAGGACACTGAGGCACAGAGAGGGGACCCAGGCAGTCCACCACGTACCCTGCACTCGGACCAACTGTGCCAGTTCTCACATGCAGTGATGCGACCTTCAGGGACATTCACATCTTGGGACCCTGGGGTCTCCCACACCAGACTGAAGGGTGTTTGGTCTGCAGGCTGCTGGGGTGTCTGAGGCACCGGGGGTAGGACTGGGAAGAGGCGGGGCTGGGCGCTGGGCCTTGGCTCACCTCCTCCTGCAGGGTCTCCATTTCAGCCACCAGATGCTGCTGTTCCTTTTCCTGAGAGGACAAAGGCTTCTGTTGGGGCTTCCTTACCCCCATATTGCCCTTACCCCTCCCCTGGGATCACACTCAGGCCTGGGTCACTGAGGAGCAGGGCTGGGGAGCCCTGATGGCTCCCGGTGCCCCCTGTGTCTTTAGAGGAACGGCAAAGCCTGAAGCAGGTCGTGGAGGGATGGAGGAAGCCTGGGTGACCTCTGCCTCTTCCCTTCCATCGTCAGGCTCTGATGCTCAGACTCCAAGAAAGAGGGAAGGGAGAGGGCACCTCTGTGCCCCTTGCCCAGAACCTACTGTCTGCCGGGCCTGGGCCAGAAGACTGCGATTCTGTTCCTCCAGGCTCTTGGCCAGACTCTTCAGGTCCTCCAGCTCCTCGTCCACAGCCTTGGCAAACTGCAGGGCCTGCTGGGTACTGTGTGGGGGCAGGGACATGTGAGCCGTGAGAGAGGAAGACAGACCACAGGAGAGATCCACTCAGAGGCAGAAGCAACAGAGAAACCCCAGACAGAGATAGAGGGGGATGGGGACCCAGAGAGAAGGGGACAGAGACTCAGAGGGAAAAAAAGGGGATGTGGGGGGGCTGAGCCTGGAGAACAGGACAATTTCTACCTAAAAAACTAAGGGGGTAGGTCCTCGAGAGTGGGAGACTAAAATAGGGGGACAGGACAGACACGGGAAGACAGAGCACAGGGAGAGAAATAGGCTGCTAAGATGGAGATCAGAGAGGGAAGAATAGAGAGAATCTGAACTTGAGATGCTGAGAGACAAGAACCAGGGAGACAAGAGAGAAAGATACAAGACAGAAGAAAAGAAGAACGGGACATGTGCAGGGTCACAGACACGGAGAGGGAGGGAGTGGAGAGCGAGGCTGGGCTTTGGTCAGAAGGGACAGGGGCACAGGATGGCGGACGCGGGCCCGGCCCACCTGCGGAGCTGCTTGCGCAGGGCCACAATCTCCTCCCCTAGGCGCGCAGACCCCTCCTCAGCGGTCTCCACGCTGCGCTGCAGTTTGGCGTTCTCCCCAGCCAGCCTGCGGTTACTGAGCTCCAGGTCCTCCAGGCTGCTCAGCAAGTCAGCTGTGCCCAGCCTGGGGGCAGGAAGGGCCAGGGTCACCACCCACAGCCCCCGGCCACCTTTCCCACCTTTCCCAGGTGATGGTAGGTGGTGAGGGTGGTGGGGAGACAAGCTCTTCTGGAGAAAGAGCAGGAGGGAGACTGCCCTGCTCTCCCTGAGCTGTTAGCACAGCCCCTATCCCTCACCCACTCCCAAAGGACCCCAAGCCCTAGCCCGGCCCTGGGCAGGCTGGAGGGCATAGGCAGGGGAGGATAGAGGGGGGCCTGAGGATAGGTACAGCTCAGGTCTGGGGTCTTCGCCTCCGAAGCTCTCCAGGTTGGCTGGCTCCTCCGTGTCTGCGCCTCCTGGAGGGAGACAGACAGAGGGTGGTGGGCTCCCCCGTGACTTTAGATATTGGGGCTCCCCAGGACTCTGGGCTTGTTCCTTGTCTGGCTTCCACCCTCAGAGCATTTGCTCTGGGTGATCCCATCTGCTCCCAGGGCTGTAACTACACCCAACATCAGAAAAGCCTCTTGTTCATCCGTGAGCTCAGGCTGGATCTCCCAGATAGCCCTGTAATTTCCATGCCCAACACTGGCCCCAAACCTGTTCCTCCTCCCACTCCCCCGCCCCACACTCGCCACCTGGATCCCTTGCTCCTGCTCACCCCTTCAGTCCACTGGGACCTAGGCCCTGTCCCCCTCCTCCCCAACTGTGTTCCACCCTCCTCTCTATCCCCACCCCCCACCCTGGCCCAGGCCCTCACCACAACCTCCTCCCCAGCCTCCTCACCTCCAGCTTCCCCCTTCTGTCCTTCCCCCACCCAGAGCTGACCCACCCCTCCCCTGCTCACAGCCCTCCCTTGGCCCCTAAGCCCAAAGGGAGGAGGTTCAAGGAATGCCAAGTAAATTCTATTTCATTTGCCTTTGTTTTTGTAAGGCTGGAGGAATATAACACAAACACATGTTTACGGAGCACCTCCTGTGTGTGAGGTCCTAGGGATACAATGGTAAGCAAGTCAACTAATCTAACGGCAGGGCAAGTAACTAATCAGATTATCAGATTTCTGCAGGAAAGGAATGCAGGTCTGTGAGTGTGTGAGTGCGAGAGCAAGGGACTGTAGCCTGGGGCATCCCGGCTGGATGAGAGGAGAGGTGGGCAGGACCTGGTGGGGCTCTATAATAGAGTTGGTGTTAGAAGGCTTTGGAAACAACTCGGGAGGAATAAACCCCCAAAGCTCAAGGAGGGTGGGGAGGCTTCTAGAAGGCCAAACTCACAGCTCCAGGCTAGAGCAAAGGTCCCTGGGGTCCCACTCTATCTCCTGCTCTGTTGCCAAGTGGGAAGTCCCCCCACTGTCTGACCCTGGGCCAGCCTCCTTCATTCTATATAAAGCATTCTCACCAGATGGCAGCTGCTGGGAGGTCAGGGCTCCCTCGAAGGTAGTCTCCTCTTCCAGCTCTAATCCTCTATATCAAAGGGATGAGGCTTAGAGCCCCCTGCAGCCATCCTCAAACCCAGCAGGGGTTTTTGGGCGGCTGGAGGAGGGGCCAGGTTAGGTGAGTAAGCTCCACAGGGAGGAAGGTGGGGCCAGATGGCTAGCGCCTGGGGCCAGATGGCAAAGCAGGAGGGCAAGGACTGGGATTGGAGAAGGGATGGTGAGGGGCATCTGTTAACCCATCGCCCCCGTTTTCCTCCTTCCAGCCCCTTTTATGTCTGTTTCCCAGACCCCCTTCACATGCACTTTGTCCTCAGACACTCTGCTGCTCCCCTACCCCATCTCTTTACTTTGTCTCTCCTCAGCCTCCTTCCAACTACAGGAGGTCCCTGTGCCCAAAGGGTGCTGGCTGCAGTAAGTAGGTATGAGGTTAGAGCTTAGGAAGGACTTCCCAGGTGAGGGTGGAGGTACAGGGACCCACCCATCCAGCTGACAGGCAGTGATCCAGTCTCGCATGACGACCAGGAAGGTGTCCAAGTCCACGGTGGCCTGAGGGCCCTCCCCACTGGGGTCTAGGCTGCAGGCCAGTGTTTGGAGGCGTGCATCCTGGGGGCCCTGTCCTGTCACAGCCTCCAGGTAGGCTAGTACGCGGGTCACAGCCACAGAGCCTGGAGACAGAGCATGCCATGAGGGAACGGGGGCAGGTGGGGAGGCGTGGGAGTTGGGGACATTAGGCCATCACTGGCTGGCTGGTGGCACCCCTGCACCACAGCCCGGCTGGGACAACTTGGGCAGGTCCTTTCCCTCCTCTAAGTCCACGTTTTCACAAGTCATCAGATCCACCTCAGAGGGTGGACCAAAGAGAATCAGCTATGCCCCCAGTGGCTACCCTCCCCTCCTTCCTCCCCCAAGCACTGAAGCCCTACCCTCTTCTCTTAATATCCCCCAAGTTTTCTTCCCCCACTGTCCTTGCCTGAAAGGCCTCCATGCCCTTATCCACTCATTCCTGAAGCTTCCCATAATCACCGTCCTATAAGACCCCCATCCCTCTCTCTAAGGCTCCCCAGTTCCAAGCCCCCCATCTCTGCCCCTTATTACTGCTTATCTCCCCCACACCCAGTGCTCCCAGGCCCACCCTGCCCCTCCCACCTGTCCTCTGGGGGTCACAAGCTTCGAACATAGAGTTGAGTATTTGATCCTCTAAGCTGAGCGGTGTCTCTAGGCGCCCCTCCTCCGGCTGTTCCCAGAGGTACACTGAGGAGACAAGAGGGCCAGTCCACCCGTGAGGAGAGGAGTGGCCTGGCTCCTGCAGAGGGGAGAAGTTCATTCCCAGCGGCCTGGAGTTTCCGCTGGTGGGGAACAGCAGGAAGCTTCAGGCGGGGGCAGCAATGTGAGGGTCTTCGAGTCACCTCCGCACCCCTCCACCCTGGGGATGTGGGCCCCATCTTTCAGGTCAGGAAGCCCCCCCTGCTGTCTGTTCCTTTGTGTCCAACCCACTCAGAAGCCAGAGAAGAATGAGCAAATCACCCTTTCCTCCTTTCCCCTGCCTCCCAGGCTGTACTCAGAGGGGCTACAGGAAGGGGAGGGCAAAGAAGAGAGGATTCTGGGAGGAGCTGAGGGTGAAGGAGGGCCCAGAAGCCAGGAACAATCCGATAACATTCTGGCAGCCTGGATCGATTCTGCCTGCTGCATCTCCGGTCCCCTAGCCTGCCTGGTGGGCCGGGTCTCTCTCCTCTCATCATGCCCAGTTGAAGCTGGCCGCAGGGGAGCCCAGGGCCAGGAGCTCAGAGCCCAGCTGCACTATTGTGGGCAAGTTGCTTCTCTTTTTGGAGCTGTGGTTTCCCAACCAATAAAATGGCAGGGAGGTGGGGTAGAGTGATCCTGCTCCCCAGGACTGGGAGGGTTAGAGGTGTGTGTGTGTGTGTGTGTGTGTGTGAAGAGCATGCGCATGCGTGCGCACACACACGCAATATGCACATCCCAGGGTCCGTTTGTCCACTGCTGTATCCAGTGTTTGCAGAGTAGGCACTCAATAAATATGCCACGATATGGGAGGAGATCCTTTACCTCAGGAACCACTGGGACAGCCCAGCATCCTTCTGAGGGCTGGAAGTGACCTTCAGACCCCTGGACTGCTGGGTACAGCACTGGGCTGAGCGCAGGCTACAGGGTCTGGCAGACACATGGACAACCCAGGCCAGGGGCCCAGCCTCTCTGAGCCTCAGTTTCTTCATCTGGAACATGGGGGTGGTGTTCCTTCCCTCTTAGAAAATGGATGAGATAAAATCTGGAAAAGCCCTGGCGGAGAGCCTGGCATGTCGTGGAAGCTTAGTAGAGAAGGTTTGGCATGGGCCCCACTTTATAGGCAAGGAGACTTAGGCATAAAAAAGTTCAACGTGAGGACCTTTCTCATTCCACTCTTCACAGGCTCTTCGTAGTGAGCTCCAATTCCGCCCCGCGGGGTGGAGCCCATGCTCCCTGGGAAGGGGAGTAGGAACCCAGTTAGGGGAGACGCCAGGGCCCGTGCCAGGGCTTTCCCTGCCCTCTTGTTTCTTCCTCGTGCAGTGAACCCATGTGATGGAGGAGGACCCTGAGGCCCAGCAAAGTCACTTGCCAGGGCCACTTAGCCAGGGAGAGCAACCCAGAGTCAACCCAGGACTGTCTGGTTACAGATCACGTGGGGTCTGAGGATCCGCGTATGTCTACAGTCTCTTCCCAGGGCCCCGCAGGAAGATGTCCTTGTGCTTCTCTCCTGTTTTCTTTCATCTCCTTCCTCAGTGTCTCTACCTCTCTCTGTGTCTCTGTGTCTGCCCTTCTCTAGTTTTCTCTCTTGCTCTTTCTCTCCATTTTCCTTCCCATCTCTCTCCCCATGTCCCTTGCCTCTATTTTCTTCCTTGTGTCTCTGTGCTTCTCTTCCCATGTCTCTGAGACTCTCCGTTCATTCCCCAGCCTTCTCTCTCCTTCCTATGCTGTCTCTCTGTGTCTTTTTCCCCAGAGTCTTCCTCTGTCTCCATCTCCCCTGGGTGTTCCCTCCCTTTCCTTCAGGAGCCTTGCCCAGCTGGCTCAGCCCTGGCCCACGGGTTCCTCAGTGGCTGCACGCCCTCTGCTGGTGCCAGAGAAGTTTAGATGCCGGTCACTCCGTCAGTAGGCACTCGGGTCTCCCCACCCAGGTGTCTGCTTCCTACCTTCCTACCCAGAAAACCTCCTGAGGCTGCAGTTCAAGCCTGGGGCCAAGAAAACACTCAGGTTCTGCTGCTGCTGGACACTAGGAGCCTCTAAGAAAGGGGCCCTGCCTCTCCCCGAGGGTGGGAGCCTCATCCCCCATCACACTGGGCTCCCCACTTAGCCAATGAGTTTCAGAGAGGGCAACCACTGGGCGAGCGTGTGAGCATCTTGGTCCAGGAGCGGCTTTCCCATGCATGTGGTTTGCATCCAGCCAATTCTAGGACAGTAACCGAGTTCCTACTATGCGTCAGGCATTGTTCTAGCGTAGCACCCACCGCACGTTGTTTGTAAGCACTTGAACTGTGGCCAGCATAAAAAGAGCACCTTAGGCATAAAAAGTTGCTCTAATAGAGCAACTGAGGTGCTCTAGTAGCATAAAGCACACACCAGACCTTGAAGACTTAGCATGGGGGAAAAAAAGCATTTCCAATCTATTTTATATTGATTATATGATACTACGATACTATTGTGGAGATATAAAGTTAAATAACATCTATTATTGCCATTCATGTGGACTGTTTCTTTTTTTCTTTCTTTTGAATATGGCTACTAATAAAATTTAAAATTACATGCTGCTGGACAATGCTGCTCTAGGAACTGGAAATACCAGAGAGAATAAAACAGAGCCTGCCTGGTAGAGCTCATGCTCTAGTGGGGGGGGGAGAGTAGACAGACAGACCAACCGATGTCAGTGCTATGAAGAGAGGTAGAGCAGCAAAGAGGAGCAAGTGTGACAGGGCAGGTGCCTTATAGAAAGCAGAGATCTGAATGAAGCGAGGGGGAGCCTGCAGTCCCTGGTAAAGGGTGCTCCAGGCAGGGGGCACCGCACACCACACACAAAGGCTTCTCTGCTCTGGCCTCTAGGAGCAAAGGGGACGAGGGGTCCGGACAGGTGGGCACAGGGCAGGTTCCCTCCTTCACACCTTGCACCAAGGTGGAGCCTCAAGCCACCTCCCCCAAGACTCAGTCTGGAGCCCATTCATCCACTCCTCCCTCCTCCATCCTCCCGCAGGGTCAGGAGGGACCCAGCCACCTACTTTGAGTAGCAGGGCCACCCGTTGGGCTCTCTGGCAGGTCCATGGGCCACCCTCGTTGCTCCACAGCTGCTGGCGAAGCTAACAGCCCCCCTCCATCACTGGGAGGGACTGAAAAGGGACCGGCTGCTCCGAGAGCTCCTGGAAGGACAAGCAGGGGAATGGCCTCCTCAGACCAGACACCTGAGGGGTGGGGACCTGACCTGCCTCACCTGCGCTCCAGGCCGTTCTGGGTTCTCAGAACCTGTTTGCCCACCCCTGCCTCCATCACAGCGGCTCCCGCTCAGACCTGTTTTATGGATTGGAGGTGTGGGTTGGGCAAAGGGGGCCCTGAAGAGTGGGTGGCAGAGATCAAAGTGGGGCCAGTGGGTGGGGGTCATTGCCTCTTCACCAGCCCTCCTCCCACAGCTTGTCAAGTCCCAGCCCTGTCTTCCTGCCCAATGACTCTACCCTGTCCCCTTCTCACCTTCCCTATGGCCCAGGCTTCGGCCTCGTCTTCTCCCCATGGGCCCTCGCTGCAGCCTCTCCTCTGGCCTCAGCCTCCGGTCCCCCACATCAGTCCACACCCACAGGGCCCCCAAGCTGACCTGCCCCTCCCCTGCTCACTGCTCTTCCATGGCTCCCGAGCACCCCCTGGACAGAGCCTAGCCCAGTGATGGCGAATCTATGACACGCGTGTCAGAGGTGACACGCGAACTCATTTTTTTGGTTGATTTTTCTTTGTTAAATGGCATTTAAATCTATAAAATAAATATCAAAAATATAAGTCTTTGTTTTACTGTGGTTGCAAATATCAAAAAATTTCTATATGTGATACGGCACCAGAGTTAAGTTAGGGTTTTTCAAAATGCTGACACGCCGAGCTCAAAAGGTTCGCCATCACTGGTCTAGACCCTGGACTTGGCATCGAAGGCCCTCCATGGCCTGGCCCCAAATCACACTTGCTGCTCCAGCAACTCTGAACTGAGTGCTGGTCCCCAAACCGGGCTTGCTGTTCCCACCTCTGGGACACCCTCCTTGCCAGCCCTCCCAGTCTCAGCTGGCACATCCCCTCCTCCTGACCACCTTGGGCTACCGACATCCTCGCCAGATCAGCCTGTGTCTGGTGTCCCACTCGTTAGACCCCATCTCTCCTGCTCTCAGTCCTCCCTGGCTCCCTGGTGCCCTCAGGACCAAGACCGAGCCCCTCTGGCTGCTATGGCAGGGTGGTCCCTGTAACTCCTGCCTCTTTTTGTGACTCTTCTCCCCACTGGCCCCCCTCCAGGCCCCTCCCCCTCATCACACCCATGGGAGCTTTGCATCTTCCCAGGCCGAGGCCACACTGAGCACTACTCCCACCTGTGGCCCCTGCCCTGGCCCACAGCTCCTGGGGAGCCTTCCTGAGTCCCTAGAGCAGCTGGGACCCCCCCTTCTGTCCTGCCTACATTAATTATAACCAGGTTGACCATATGACTTCTTATCCCAACTCCAGGACGCTGTCAAGAGCGAAAGGGGCCCGGCCAGTGTTGCTCAGTGGTTGAGCGTCGACCTATGAACCAGGAGGTCACAGTTTGATTCCCGGTCAGGGCACATGCCCGGGTTGTGGGCTCCATCTCCAGTGTGGGGCGTGCAGGAGGCAGCCAATCGATGATTCTCTCTCGTCCTTGATGTTTCTATCTCTCTCCTTCTCCCTTCCTCTCTGAAATCAATAAAGATATATTTAAAAAATAATAATTATTATTACACTGGATGCCTGGCCGGTGGCTCAATGGTTAGAGCACTGGCCCACGGAAGGGTCGGTGGTTGGATTCCTGGTCAAGGGACTCTCTTCTCCTTCCTCCCTCCCTTCGGCTCTAAAACGATGGAGAAACATCCTCGTGTGAGTAACAGCAGCAGCAAGTTACACTGGACAATGGTGCCCGTCACACTGAACTGGCACACGGGGGCAGATAAATGGTCAAAGCAGGGTGCCCCAGGGCCTGACTGTCCGCACCCCACTGCACAGCTCCCCTCTCCTCCCCACACCCCGCTTTCCTGGCCACACTTCTCGGGGCTTTAGAATTCCTAGAAAACACGGCTGAGACCCTTCTAGGGTTTGGGCGACGCTGGAGGGTCTGCAGGGGGGCAGGGGCCCTGGAACCTGAGTGGGAAAGGGGTGCAAGGTGCTGACAGGCACTGGGAGCCTCTGACAGGGTTGGGGGGACAAGCTCCTGGCGAGGGACTGAGGGATGCTCCGTTCAATCTCGGGGCATCTAGCCTTTGGAGGGGGGTCTAGCAGGAGGCTCAGGCAGGACTTCTGGGAATTTTAAGGTCTTGATTTCAGGTTGTCTCTTACTGGAACTCTGTGGGGGGGTCTGGATTTCTGGGGTATCTGTTTTTCTGGGGCCTCTCTGACTGGGTTTCTTGGGGTCTCTCTGACTGGGTTCCTGGGGTCTCTCTGACTAGCTTTCTGGAGTCTCTCTGGATTTCTGGGGTCTCTCTGACTGGATTTCTGGGGTATCTGACTGTTTTTCTGGGATCTCTCTGACTGGGTTCCTGGGGTCTCTCTGACTGGATTTCTGGGGTCTCTCTGACTGGATTTCTGGGGTTTCTCTGACTGTTTTTCTGGGATCTCTCTGACTGGGTTCCTGGGGTCTCTCTGACTGGATTTCTGGGGCCTCTCTGACTGGATTTCTGGGGCCTCTCTGACTGGATTTCTGGGGCCTCTCTGACTGGATTTCTGGGGCCTCTCTGACTGGATTTCTGGGGCCTCTCTGACTGGATTTCTGGGGCCTCTCTGACTGGATTTCTGGGGCCTCTCTGACTGGATTTCTGGGGCCTCTCTGACTGGATTTCTGGGGCCTCTCTGACTGGATTTCTGGGGCCTCTCTGACTGGATTTCTGGGGCCTCTCTGACTGGATTTCTGGGGCCTCTCTGACTGGATTTCTGGGGCCTCTCTGACTGGATTTCTGGGGCCTCTCTGACTGGATTTCTGGGGCCTCTCTGACTGGATTTCTGGGGCCTCTCTGACTGGATTTCTGGGGCCTCTCTGACTGGATTTCTGGGGCCTCTCTGACTGGATTTCTGGGGCCTCTCTGACTGGATTTCTGGGGCCTCTCTGACTGGATTTCTGGGGCCTCTCTGACTGGATTTCTGGGGCCTCTCTGAC